AAGAAAATCCTCATCATCTTCTACCTCCGTGATCCTAGCTGCTTCGACAGCTGGTTCCGGTTCTGCCTCCTTTTCCTTTCCCTTCGCGTCGTAGCTGGCGATGAAAGCACGGACTGCTTCATATCTCGCCTTGCTGTCGTCGGAGATATCTGAGGCCGCATTTGAAGAAATTGCCCTTGCTGCTTGGCCCCGCTTCGGCATTTCGAATTTGCCTTTGTACTTGGGGTCTGGGCATCGCTGTTTAAAAATGAAGGGGTGTTTCCCACATCATACACACAGCTTCTTCTCCAGCCATCCTTCTTGTTCCTTAGTGAGGGTGGATACTCGATCCACGACCATTGCATTGGGGTCTTTCAGGGCCCATGGTGCCGATGATGATGATGTTGTAACCGTTCCACGTTGTCCTGCTTTGTCGGCTCTGAACTTGGACCCCAGTTGAAGGCACAGGTCGAGGTATTCCGGCCATGTGATGGGGTCGGAAATTCCTAGGCTGTCTCGTGTGACCATTGCCTGGCGTACGTCCTTGCTTCGGTGTTCAGCGATGTAACCGATGAGTGCAGTGTGCCCTAAGTTGGTCTTAGTGGCCCATTGCTGGAACTGTTCTGTGAAAGATACCATTGTGGGATATGTCTTACTGCAGATATCCTTCAAATGCTGCTGCGCATCCTTATCCAGGTCGAGGGTCCTGTAGTTCACTTTGAGAATGTTGACGAAGTCTTCCCATGTGCCAAGTGCCTGCCGTGCTGCTGCTTTGGTCGCATATTCGGACATGTATGTGAACGCGCCACCTTCCAAGTGCAGTAAGGCCGTGGTAATCTTGTGTTCATCGTCGTTGATCTCGTTCCACCGCATCCATATACCGAGTTGTTGGAGCCAGTCCTCCAGACTTCCTTTGCCCGAGTAGTGTGGAGGTTCAGCAATTTTGATGCGGGGCTTGTGCGCTTGGACCATGCCGGATGTTTGACCTTGCATCATAGTGACGCCGCGCTTGCTTTGAGCGAAGCTAGCTCGTGCCGCAGCTTAATGTTAGCTGCCTTGATTTCCATCATTTCTTTGCCTGTGTCGAGCATTGCCGCCTGGGTTCCCGTGAGCTCGTTGTTCAAAACTGTCATATGCACATCTTGCGCAAGGATCCTATCCTTGAGCTTCCCAATCTCCGTCTGAAGCATTCCCTCCTTGAGTCGGTGTTCGCTCTTGTTGTTTTGGATCAGCGACTCGAAGGCTTTCTTGTGCTCGTACATTTTGTTTCTGAGCACATTGTAGACCTTGGCGACTTCGGTACTGACCGTGAGCTTCATCGCCACAATAACCCATTTGCGGATGTGATCCGGGACTTCTCCGGGAGCGGACTGTCTGAGCGCATCTTCTAGATGCTCGAACTGGTGTCCGTCGAATTCCCAGATGGGGGGAACATAGGCGGGTAAGAGTGATGGGGTTGGGGATGCTGGTCCTCCAACTTGCGATGCAGAATCCTGCGGTCCTAGTGCAGGTTCTGGTGAATTGCGCTGCGAGGCGCGTGGGGTGCTTCCATCGTGTGCTGACTCAACGTTTGTATGCAGAATATCATCCATTCTTTGCCTGAATGTAGATGCGTACGCACGATCGGCTCCTTCCATTGTGATATAGATGTAGTTAAACTAATTGAAAATGAAGCCTAGGTACTGCTTGTCCTTGACTTTCCCAATCTCCCTGATGATCTCGTCTAACCTCTGCTGCTTCCCTATCTCCTTGAAGTTGATCCTTCCTATTTCTAGGCAGCACGTGTTGATGACCTGTTTGTCGATGAAGGTGTATTCGCGAGTTCCCGTGTAGAGGTCTGCGCAGACTTTGTCTAACTCCGATGCGAGGAGTTGTACCTTCTTTCGTTTGTCCTGATCAATTCTCTCCCAGAACGCTCCTAATATTGGTTGTGGTCTGAAGCGGGTAGCGGAGACCTGCTTCTTGAGTGTTTCGATGTGGAGGGTGGGCCTGACTTTGGATGGAAGAGGGCGAATGGGTCGTGCGTGTGTGTTGCCCTTAACGAAGTTGGGAAGGGGTCGCACTGGCTGTGGAGCAACAATGATGGGGGAAACGGCATTGGAGGTTATAAGCTCTGGGGGCAGTGCCAGCTTGCGACTACCAGTGGTAAGACGTCCTTTTCTGGGCTTGTAGCATTCGAGCGGTGGGGTGTGATCGCGTGGCTTGCAGATGATTCTGCGCTTTATGATGTGTGTGGTATCTACAACCCTAGCTGCTGCTCGCTGCCTGTCTGTGGATGATGCGCCTAGTGACGCAAGTGTGAGGAGCCTTCCACGCTCCTTGTTGGTTTCCTGATGCTTGTAGTGGGAGTCGAGGTTGATCCTGGGGGTGGCCTTGCGCTTTGAGGCTTTGGGCAGCTCAGAGTCTTGCTGAGGCTCACGCCGGGTAGAGATCAGATTGGAATGTGTGTCAAAAAAGCCGCGCGCTACGGCTGAAACTGCTTGCGCTGAAAATACGCGGCCACTTGTGTTAGACACTAAGCAGGGGCACAGAAAATGTCAGATTGTTTCTAATGTCACAGTAACACCGGACAAGAGATCAAAAAAGACTAAAAAGGGACAGTCACGTGGAACGTGCCGCCCTGATCCCCCTGATCCCAAAAGTATCCCCCTGAACCCTATGTGGTGCAAGAGCCTGTTGACTTACTGGTCGATGTGGCAGATGCAGGAAAGGGTGAGAGATATATGAAGGAGCTGGTGGGCTCAGTGAGTGCTACAGGTAGTAGACGAGGAGAAACAATCTGAGGTTTCGTCCCCTACATGGCTGGTCTTATATACACATACAGCAGGCTATCTTACCTAAGCTACCTATCTACGGGTATAAGCAAATGGCCGTACATGAAACAATAGGATGTCCGGAAGTAGAACAATAAGTGGGAAGATCGATGGTTGCTGCAGTAATGCGTGTGCACATCGTGCCTATCTTGGTTTCCCTTTTGTTCTCCGGTGTGAACATCGTGCCTATCTAGGCTTCTGGCTAAACTAATAGGAAGCGGAAGGCCGATGCATAACAATAGTCCTTGTTCCCTTTGTTCCCAAATGGGTGCCTCTATTGTATCCTGGAATAGACAGGTCTGACCGTATCATCCACGGGTCTGGACCATAACATGTGATGTGGACTATCACCTGATCTCTACGCGTCGCGTCTGTGGCTGAGTGGCGTGAGATATTGGTGAAGCACGTGATCTGTGGTGTGAGAAAAGTCACGTGCGGACTTTGTGGCGAAAATCTGTGACAGCTTGACACACCAGGTCGCTATCGGCCTTTGCGAAGAGGTGACATGCTAGATTAACATGCAGGAAGTGAAGGGTCAGACAGCATGCATGTACCATGTATTTCTAGAATCTTGTCCATCCCTGACATGTTCATGTAGATATCTCCAGTCGCGACCTACAGCAGAGTCAGTGTGATGGCCCAGGACAGGACAAGGAAAGTGCACCCCACACAAAATTTCTCTCCAAACTGGCAGCTCTGCCCCATGGCACAATGGGCACTGGCATTTTGTGCAGTGTTGATAATCTTGATGACGTCTTCCATGCCAATAGAATGAACCATGACAGAGTGCGCCGAAGTGGGGTGACAAGAGTTGTCAGAGTGACCATATGTCTGCAAGATATCCGGGTCAGTGAACACGGCATCCTCAGGGAGAAGGGCAACTTGCAGCTCTGTGATGGCCTATTGGATCTCTTCCTTCGACACATACTTGGAGGGCTGTGAAGGTGGCGGAAGGTCTTGGTGCTTGGTGGTCCTTGGGATCTTGCCAGAGTGGACGTCGTCACTGGGTCCAACGTTCACACCATCGAGATGGATGGCTTGGCTCTGTACATAGTAGACAACAACAAGAGCGAGCATGATTCCTGCACCTAAAAGGAAGCTCTATACACTTTTGAACTCGCTGCCTGCTTCAGGATGCTTGGCCGTCGACGAGAGAGAACAGCGCGAGGTTGCGCCTTGGAAGGCAATGTAATTCCAATTTGATTGCTTGGGCCTGACAAGAGAATATAATCACAGTGAACTATATGAACGTGAGAATCATGTGACCGTTAGCAAGGAAAGCTTCATGATGAGAAGGTCAGGAATGTTGAGGAAAGCAGAGGCGCAGGTTTGAGCACCACAGTTTTGTTAGTTACTGTGAAGAGATGTAATGTGTCCGGTGCTTGTTTCTAGTGCAGGCATCTCCTTGATACTCATACTCGATGATGAGAACCAGCTTGTACTCACCAAACGTGAGATACTGCAGAATCTGCAAACCATCGTTATGATCAGAGTGCCCATGCACGAGGTCAGTCATTACACTCTATCAATTACAATTATGTACTTGCGGCTCACATGCCTCCCGTAGGTTGCATGCAACTCGATAGATGTTCTTTCTACCGAAAACTGCAAGCTCTGGTTAAGCCTTCACCATCAGCTGTCAAAGAATGGGAACAATGACTCATGTCTGCAAATCATCGACAACGTGCTCTTCATTGTCTGTCTCGACGATGTGACACTGGAGAACCTCGCTGAGCTGTGCAACAACTTCCTGTGTGGCATATACAACCTGAAGAATGGGGTTCAGGTTGGGACGTGTACAAATCAGTGGTGTAACAAGGTGGGTTTTACAATATATACGCTTGGAATCTCTCGCTAATGCTGGAATTTACATACAGCTGCGAATCATCATGTGTGCAGATGGCTATGCTGGGACCAACTTTGAACACACTGGCATTGATGGCCATACCATCCTTCGGTAGGTGCTCAACAATGCTCATACAGTTTTTTTAGCTTACGAGTTCGCTCCACTCTAGCTTCACCGCTGACATCTTTACGAAGGTCTCATGCTGATTGCATGTTCTATCAACCCCTCTGCCCTGACCCTCTTCCATGCGACACTCTCTTCATACGCCAAGTCGTACAAGTACTGGTGGGCCCACCGTCGCTCCGCAGCTCAGATACGTCATCGACACCATTCCAAAGAAGCTCGAATGGGCACTCTATCCTGAGCTGCACCCTGCTATTAGGTTCACAGAAAACCATCTGAGTGACCTGATCTGCCAGAACGACTGCCAGGCATTGAAGTTCAAGGGATATGGAAAGAACTTCATCGTGAGCCATGGGATCAGCCTGGATGTGTTTGTGTGGATGGCATTCCAGGCAGCGTACTACAGGTTGTATGGTGAGTGACTGGCTTGTACAAGGTGTTGCAATGTGCTCATGATCGCTATAGGCTGCATCGAGTGCACATATGAGCGTGCAATGATGAAGCACTTCCTACACAGCCATACCAAGGCAATCCGCACTGTCCAATCACACTCGGTCAACTTCATCAAGACATTCTTCTCCGAGGTGCTGCTCAGACAGAAAATTACCATGCTGCAGACTGCATGTCAAGGGCATGTCAAGTTCATGAAGAAATGCAGCTAGAGACTCAGGCAGGACCACCACATGTACGCAATGTACTGCCTTGTGCAATGAGAGCACGAGGTGATCCGTGAGGAGGATGAGGCACCCTCATTGCCCAGTGGGAGCATGAGCTCGTTGACAAGCACTGGGAGTGAGCGGCCAGCGCTGCCGTCGATTTTCACTAATCCGGGCTGGAGCACGCTGGTCATGTCGATCCTGTCAACATCAAACTGTGGAAACCCGGCGCTGCAGCTGTTTGGGTTCAGGCCCATCGCAGCGGAGGGATATGGCATCGGGTACCTCATCAAGAATGAGGGCATCTCAATCTGTGCATTGTCGAGGCACCTGCAGATGCGGCAGTTCTTGGACATGCTGGAGAGGTACCTGCTGGAAGTGCAGCAGATGCTGATCCAGTTGCACCTGAGCATGAACCCAAGGCCAGAGCCGTTTGTGGACCATGTGGGTGTCCTGCATGACTCAAAGATGGGACAGCCGATGAAGGGGCAAGTGACCGGGTACGAGAAGTATGACGATGGGAACATCATGCGTACATTTGTTCTTTCTTCTAGATGTGGCGTGCGGGTGGCTGACGGAATGTCGCTACCAGCTGGCTATCCATTCTTCGACAGTGTGGATGTCGAGCTGCTTGGACGGAGAAAGCAGATGCCAAAGTATTACAATACAGGAAGGATCATTCCTCTCGCTGAATATTAGCTGAATCGCACGCGAGGATACCTTGGCTGCGTGTGCGTGTTTCTTTGGTTGGTGTCATTTTTGCTGGGGTTCAGGAGAGAAGTATCTGTAATAATGTCCTGCTAACTATGTAGACTGTGCACGTAAGATTGCGATTGTGGTTTGTGGGTGCTGTATCTTGGATATCGACCCATATGTATTATTGTATGTATATGATGGAATTTCTATTAGACGTTGAAAAAAAATTGTAGTGTTTCTGGACGAGCTGATTCAGTAAGTTTTCAAGACACATTTCACTTCTTACCTAGAACACACATCGTCACCTTTGCAAGCCCCCACGCATATGAACTTCTTTATGACAAGCCTTGAGATCTGACAATCCAAAGATCAGATATTGACATCTTGGCATATATATGACAATCCTCTTTCGACTTGCGGATTGGCCCAACATCTTCTTTTCCTTCCTCCGAGTAATGCTGTCATTCGTTCCTCATCAGCATCTGGTGCGTATGGGGAGGCCTCTTGATCTCGAATGGATCCGAAGCTGTTTTTCTTCCGCTTCAATAATCATATGCATATGGAGTTCTCTACATGTTTTGATTCGATAACTGATGTAAAATGTGTCGCTGAGGCGACAGAGTCGATAAATGGTGAGTCTGGAGGTACGTAGTCCCACAATCGGCTTTCTTGACCTGAGTTGACTCCACGTCCTTGATGCCTTGTTCCATACCTCAAAGCTAGAGTCTAGCATGCTGCAGAAGAATCTGTCAAAGTCCTTTCCAGGTATGATCAGTTGCTGCTGCCATCACCGCTTCAATGGTGCTGACCTCTGAATTGCCATGTGGGAACCACGAGGGCCAGGAATACAGGCCACGGCGATCTTCACATCTTCTTTGTGGTGTTGCAGCCTGTAATGCAGTTCGTTAATGTGCATCTGTGGCAGCGTGAACGTGTTGTTGGGAGCAGTCATTTCTCGGTTGTAACCGAACTATACAACCACTCAATTCTCTTCCCCTACATTGATATTGATATCGTCTCACTGCATATCTATGCACTGGCCTCATCGATGGCTTTGAGCCAGATACGGTTCCTGATGACCTGGACCTCAGCACTCAGCACTTGATCTGAAGTGTTGTTGTCCGATTACAGCAGATGAACTCGCATGCCCACGAAAGCTCTTCCAGCTCATGCTGACATCCTTGTTCTAATTCCTGATATTGATTCTTCAGTCGTTGTGAAGGGCCTGCAGTTTCTATTTCATTGCAGTTGACTTTGAGTCACTTGGGGACCGTCGATCTCACTCATCCATATAATCAGTTCAAGGAGGTACGACACATTTGTTGCTCATCTATCCATAGCATCTGATTGTCTGCATTTCTCGCGAAGCAATAGTGAGAGATTGAGTCCATATCGCTGTCACGGTAACACCGGACAAGAGATCAAAAAGACTAAAAAGGGACAGTCACGTGGAACGTGCCACCCTGATCCCCCTGATCCCAAAATATCCCCCTGATCCCTTAAATGGTGCAAGAGCCTGTTGACTTACTAGTCGATGTGGCGGACGCAGGCAAGGGATAGAGATATATGAAGGAGCTTATGAGCTCAGTGAGTGCTACAGGTAGTAGACGAGGAGAAACAATCTGAGGTTTCGTCCTCTACATGGCTGGTCTTATATACATGTACAGCAGGCTATCTTACCTAAGCTACCTATCTACGGGTATAAGCTAATGGCCATACATGAAACAATAGGATGTCCGGAAGTAGAACAATAAGTGGGAAGATCGATGGTTGCCGCAGTAATGCGTGTGCTCATCGTGCCTATCTTGGTTTCCCTTTTGTTCTCCAGTGTGAACATCGTACCTATCTAGGCTTCTGGCTAAACTAATAGGAAGCGGAAGGCCGATGCATAACAATAGTCCTTGTTCCCTTTGTTCCCAAATGGGTGCCTCTATTGTATCCTGGAATAGACAGGTCCGACCGTATCTTCCGCGAGTCTGGACCATAACATGTGATGTGGACTATCACCTGATCTCTACGCGTCATGTCTGTGGCTGAGTGGCATGAGATATTGGTGAAGCACATGATCTGTGGTGTGAGAAAAGTCACGTGCGGACTTTGTGGTGAAAATCTGTGACACTACCCCCCTTTCAAGGCTCATTGTCCCGAGGAGCCAAAACCTTTATTACCCCTTCTAGTTGCTCGCAATGGTTGGTAGCTTCGGGAGGGAAGCCCTTCTGCATAATACTTAAAGATTATTTGGGCTATTCTGTCTCCCGGCTTGACCGAAAATATGAAATCCGTTGTGTTGATTAGTACGACCTTGAGTTCTCCAGTGTAATCTGGATCGACGACTCCTGCGCCCACATCAATTCCTCATGCAGCCAGTCCGCTGCATGGAGCTATTCATGTATAGGTATGTTTGGGAGGGTCAATCGCGACTCCCGTTCCTACCACAGCTCGTGAATGCGGGGGGATTTCATGTGTTTCTGCCGCATAAATATCCCATCCTGCTGCTTCATTTGAGGATTGTTTTGGTGATTTGGCGAGATCTGTCATCTTATGATATAGGAAGAACTCGTCTGGATGGTCGGACATGTTGATTCGGTGTGTTGATATCGGTGCAACTTCATATGAGGATAATTCGAAGTGTTTTCCACCAAAAGTGACGACCCTGATTGGTGCTTTGGCTGCATCTGGGTGTTGCTGGTGGAATTCATGAAGAAGCTCATCGACGTTGGTAAGATTTGTTCAGGGTTCCCATGTATCATCGGAATGGTCATAGCCTTTCCATTTGACGAGGTATTGGACACTTCCCCTTACGACCTTAGAGTCTAGTATTTCTTCAACTTCGAATTCTGGTTCTTCTTCGATTTCTATAGCTGGGGGCTTTGGGGGTTCGCAGTTTGCGACCGTGTCTTGATGGTACATGATCAATTTGCTAGCGTGGAAGACTGGGTGGACCTTCATTTGCTTAGGCAGTTTCAGTTTGAATGTGACTGGGCCTAGCTTCTGAAGTACTTTGTAAGGTCCGAAGTTTTGTGTGCCTAGCTTCGCAGACTTGACTTTTACTCTGAGATCCTTTCCCTTGAGTAGTACCAGATCTCCGACTTTGAATGGGACTTCTCCCTTTTTCTCGTCAAAGTACCATTTCATCCGTGAAGCTGAAACTTCCAATGCTGCCTTTGCCTGTTCTTGTGCCTCAGATTGGTGAGCAAATAGATGTTCCAATGAAGGGTGACATATTGATTCATGCACGTCTGGTGCCATCTTTGGATGCCGGCCATATTCGACAAAGAATGGGGAAAGTGCGGTGGACTCATGGATCTGGTTATTGTATGAAAATTCTGCCGTTGGCAGATAGTAGACCCAATCATTCTGTTTGTGGTTACAGTACATATGTAGATACTGTTCCAACACCTGATTAACCCTTTCTGTCTGACTGTCTGTTTGGGGGTGATATGCTGTAGACATTGTAGACTTTATACCAAGTTTCTGGCAGAACTCCTGGAACAGTTTGCTCGCAAATTGAGTACCTCTGTCTGAGATAATCTGGTGCGGCAATCCGTGGAGTTTGAAGACTTCATTATAGAATACATTAGCAACTTGCGACGATGTGACTGTGTCGTCCGTTGCGTAAAAGTGCGCTCGCTTTGTGAGTCTGTCTACGACGACAAGTATTGCCATCTTCTTTTCTCCCCTAAAGTCCATGGCTGGAGGAAGTTGAGTGATGAGATCGACTGTGACGATTTCCCATGGTTCTCCTGGTACCTCATTGGGTTGTAATAGTCCGTATGGTTTTTCTCTTGAGTACTTGTTGCGTTGACAACTGTCGCAACCTTGTACGTATTGTTTAACCATTACAGACATTCCTGGCCACCAATAATTCCGCAAAATAAGCTCCAACGTTTTGAACCTGCCGGGGTGTCCGGCTGGTAAGGTGTCATGATGGAGTTTTATTAGGTCAAGGCATAGCTGTTGATCCTTGGGGACATAAACCTTTCCGCGATGGAGCAGCAGTCCGTGCTCAAAGTTCCATTCTGCGAGGTTTTTCCCAAATTTGTGTTGTCCTGTAGTCAAAAGCGCACGATAATTTTTGGTCATCATGTCGTCTGTGAGTGCCTTCTTGATCCTTTCCAGTAGTTGAGCATCATCAACTTCAGATGCGTGAGCGGGTCGAATCGCATTGATAGCGAAAAATTCAGGTTTTAACAGCATTTGGTTCGAATTGTCGCTGTCTACCCCTCTCTCATGGTCTGGCCTCCTGGACAGAGGATCAGCACATAGCATAGTCTTTCCAGGTCGGTGACTAAGTATGAAATTAAATCTTGTGAGGAATAATGACCAGCGCGCTTGGCGCCGGGATAATTTTTGTGCCTGATGGAAGTATGTAAGGTTGAGATGGTCTGACCAAATTTCAATGGGTTCTGGGTGTCCTTCTAAATAGTGCCGGTATTCTTCTAGTGCCCGAATGATAGCAAGCATGTCTTTGTCATAAATCTCGTAGTTCCGCTCATGTTTGTTGAGTGACTTAGAGTAGTATGCGACTGGATGCCATAGCTTGTCCTCTCCCAGTTGTTCGAGTACTGCACCAGTTGCATAATCTGAAGAGTCTGTCTCTAGACGGTATGGTGCAGTGTCGTTGGGGAGTTGTAAGATCGGGGCTGAGGTAAACACCATTTTAAGTGCACTGAAGGCTTGGTCTTGCTCTTCCTTCCATTGCCAGGGCACGTCCTTACAGGTGAGAAGCGTTAAATGTCGTGCAAGTTTCACAAAGTCCTTTATAAATCGCCTGTAGAAATTCGCGAATCCTAAAAAGGCCTGTACTTGTTTGACCTTTGTCGGTGCGGGCCAGCCAAGTACACCTTCAACTTTAGCAGGGTCCATCTGTACTGAGTTCTTGCTGATGATCATGCCAAGATACTCGATTGAGGACTGTTCAAAGAAGCATTTCTCCGGTTTGGCATATAAGTCATTGTCCCGGAGGCACTGTAGAACTGCTTTCACTAGTCGTCGGTGTTCAT